AGTATTTTTACAGTCTTTATTTTACAGTTAAAATATGTTTATCAAATAAAGTCTAATGTTACAACTAATCGGGGATCCCTTTAAACAAGGGGGTACAAACAATTCTGTCCATGTGTGTACAGTATATTTCAGATTGAACCTACACAGAACTAGCCTGGTAAAAATCAGCCCCTTGTTCTTCGCTTTGCTTCATACAGAGGGGTCTGGACTCTTGGCTAATTGAGAAGCGATTGCTTCCTGGAGGCGTGGCCTCTGTTGAAGCCTAAAAGGATTGGATCTGATTTACCCAACCGCTAACAGTTGGCCGCGACGTATACAGTGTGACAGCTTCACTCTGAAGGAGGCTAAGCTAAGCGGCTAACCGGAAATTGCGTGCGCTGTAAACAACCCTGAGAGGAGAGAAGTACAGAGCCGAACGAGACGACTAAATGAGAGCTGCTGCTTTGTCAGACAAATTTAATTTAATTTGGAAGCCTTATCAACACAGACTGGCTTCGTTCACTTCCTCCACTGCCATTGCTAAACTAAAAGCAGACACTGCGCAGAAAATCGACATTGTCGTTCAAAACTCCACCTTCTGTTCCCTGATTGGTCCAGGCAATATTCTACCGAAGAAATCCTCGTCTATGGGAGAAATCCCAGACGGAGCAGTGAAGAGTGGAACTGCATAGGAAGGCAAGGGCCGGGTTAATGCTTGACAGTTAGAAGACTAAAGGATTTCAGAGGTTCACATCTTCTCCTGGTTTAATTTAAATAAATGACAAAAACTAAGAGGACTGTTGTAGTTTTATAGTATAAGTTAAGACATTAGGCAGTAGTCCTAATGTGCCTCATCTTTAAGCCTTTACGTCTTCCTGTTGTTGATCAGAAGTGATGTTTCTTGCATTCATGTAACCATGGTTTCCACAGTTCTAATAAAAGGATTTTCAAAAATAGATTCAAGTCCAGATATGACAACAGAGCTAYGGCTCCTTCCACCATAAACCACCGACCCTGTTGTTGCCTTCAGACTGACCTCTCTACAGGCCGCAGAGCTGATAAACTCCTCATAGATCTTCTTTGCTTTCCAGCTGAGGTCCTCTGATGAGCCTGTTGACTTAAAGTCTTCACATGCAAGCCAGAACTCGATGTTTTCCTCACTGAACTCTGACTGTAGGAAGGAGCGGAATGCTTCTAGATACCCTGTGGGAAAGAGAAAAATGCATTTGATTGTTCTTTGTTTCAAACTATCAAAAGAAAGTAAATTCTGTGGAAAAACAACAGTTCTTACTTTTATCTTTCAGTAATTTGTCCAGAGACATGTGGCGTTTATGATCAGTCTGCCAGCTGCAATAAATAAGAATTTAAAGTGTTATTTTTTTCTGTTTAGTGAAGCACAGAATGATGGGAACAACTAAAAGAACAAAATACTACCTTTGGTTTGAGGGACATGTCCCATTATTTATTTTTTGCCCAATGACAAATGACCAGATGTCTTTCTTTTGCTTTTTTCTACTTTGTAAAATATCAACCCTGTGAAATAAATCCAGTCAAGTGGAGGAAAACATCATTTAACATGAAGCAAAACATGTTCAGATCGTCTAGCTTACCTTCTGGGCTGCTTTATATTCGGAAACAATTCTTTAATCTCATAAAAGCGAATCTTTGAAAACAAAAGTTTGGACATTTTAACATCCCTGTTGTCCTTTGGAGATGTCAGACAGTTTTTTGTGATAGAGCTGAACTGTATTGTTTCTCCCCCCAGAGCTGGTTTTTATTCAGTAGGAAAGGTGTAACCCTCATGACGCTGAGGACCTGCTGGTACAGGTACCTGAATACCTTTTATACGAGCAAAGACCACTGTTCCCGGACTCAGGATCTCTTGTTACTGACTCACAGCTGTAAAATCAGGCAAGAAGGAAGATCGTTTTTCACGCTGATTTTTAGGAAAAGCTTTGTGATGTACAGTTTGTCTTTTTAGTAAATGGTCAATTTTGTCACAAGAGTCAGATATATGTAATAATAAGTACCTGGACCAGATTAATTTGAACAAATTTAAATGGAAGAAATTGCTTTATTTTGTCTGCTTTAGAAGGAATTGTGAAAGACACAACGTTGTACAAAATGCTCCACTGTTTTATGACTCATCTAATAAAACCTCCCATATATCCAGTGGCGGATCTAGGATTTTTCTGAGTAAGGGGCCATCAAGGGGCCACAATATTCATAGACGGGCCAAGTCTTTGTTCAACATCCTTTCACACAAATCTCCAGTTTTGTTAAGGTGTATAAGTCATACATGTTCAAACACATGTAATGTAGTGTAACTGTTTAAAAAAGGTATCACTTTACAATAAGGCTCCCAGATGGCTTTTAAAGAGTTCAAACATAGGTTATAAATTCCTCTGTAAACACTTCATAAATTATTAAGTGTTTATTATGCATTAATTAAGGACAAAAAGAGACTAAACTGTCCGGTTTCTTTCCAAATACTGAGCCAAATCTGTTTGTGTATTAAACATTTCAGACTAGTTTACTACTTTGTAGCACAAAAATGGTTAAACATATAT